TTTTAAATCCATGTGCAAATCTTTACTGGGATAAATCCCTGCAAAAAAAAAATCCAGTTCTAAAATGCTTTAGAGAACAAGCTGAATCTTGAGGATAAAAAAAATCGTATCTAATTGTATTCATTATTCACCGTCATATACTGAGCAAATCATGTTGACAAAATAAGCGCTGTATTTGGGTGGTAATATGCAACGACACTTAAAACATACTGTCTGCTACAAAACGGTGCAAGTCAGATTATTGTGGATACACAGGATTATATGGTTTGAAAGGTTACACCTTCTGTACAAACAACACGTTGTGGATAAATAACCACAAAGACAAACAGGCCTCACTGACAATCTGCACAACAATAAAGTTAGTGTGACCAACAGTGTACACTCAGGGACCTAAAGCTAACACACAGAGAAACAATTCATGAATTAATTAGTGTTTTTTGCCGTAGAAAAGCATTAATAATAGTAAACGAAGAAATCCTCATGGCTTTAGAAACAAATGTTTTTTTTTCCAGTGCTGCAAATACCCCCAATCTTTCACTTTGTAACAGACACCAGAGATGTTAGTGCATGTTATTGCAGGTTTTATTTGAAAGGTAGTCTTTGGTATGGATGGACTTAAGGCTCAGGATCCAAAAACCCTCAGAAGCACCTTTAAATTGCTGGTTGCATCCCTTCTTCAGACACGACTCTTCATCAGTGGAAGTGGCTGTTCTGCTCCAGGCAGTGAAAATATTCATCCAAACCAAACACAGTGCATTTTTCTAAAGAATCTCAAGTATTGCAGATTGTCAGTGCAGTAGATGAGTTAGGTTTTTTATTTTTTTAAGTTTCTTTACCTTGTATATTCTTGTTTTAACCTACTTTTTCAAATAGTTATTGGCACACTGTGTGAATAAGTTGAGTTCTAAAAAAACGTATCTATTATTTCATTTTTAAATTCCAATGATTGTTATTTTTATACACGATTCATACTTTCAAAGTGCAGGAACCCTCACTCAAGGGCTTTAGGTGAATTCTTAGGTACGTGGTTTCCCTTTCTCCGAGTGGTTGAGCCCTCATCGTTCTCTATATGTTGAAGATATGACATAATCCATCTCAACAATACCATACACACGCAATGTATAAAGATCCATAATTAAAATCATTTTTTAGGACCTGATTGGAAGACAGAGGCTTTCCTTAATATTTCCACACTTGACAACCTTTGTTTTTCTTTGAC